AGTTTAGTTAGTTAGTGAACGAAACTTACGTACTAACTAATACGAACTAATAAGTAAATTACGTATTACGTATTACGTAGCCTCTCTTACTCTCTCTCTCTCTCTCTCTCTCTCTCTCTAAAGGCCCCCTCTCTTTTCAATACTGAGAACACCTGTTATTTTGATCCGAGCCTCTCTTCACATGATAACCAACGTTTAAAAAAACTCAGATCGCCCCTCCAAAAAACCCAGTCTAGATCGGTGACTCAGCCTAGTGAATCAACAAACAAAAAAATTGGAAAAAAAAATAAAAAAACTAATGTGGAACCACATAACCGGCCAATCCCAAAATGAACATGGAACCATCACAGATTTTCGATATTTAGGCAGAACAAGACCAACTCCAGCGATTCCCAATCGAAACCAAGTTCTAGTCTTCGTAGATTTTTAAAACCTTGCTAATACCAGACGGTTATCCTTCTTACTCCCTTGAGACTTAAGAGCAAAGCTTTTGCATTTCATTCTACTATAAATTTACAGAAAGCTTTCATTTTTTGTCGGATGAAGCCTAAAAACTTGTAAAGGACCATCTAGGTTTGAGCAATTAAATTCTTTGAAGAGACAAAAATTCCAGGTGCTGCAAATCGATTCTAGGGAGAAAAAAAGGTTGAAGTTATAGCATTACACCAATAATACAAGTGTTAGAGAGAGCTCGGATCAAGTTAACCCTTGTGTACAGTGTTTAGAGAGAGAGAGAGAGCTCATTTTTCGTGAAGGCTATAGAGGAAAGTGTTCCTCCAATAATTATTGCGATATGGGATAGTTTTTCATGGACTTCTTAAAATTATTTAAAAAGAGCTATGTTAGGCTACTCCTCCATTGTTTATTCCTTTAATTCACTCAAAAATTTAGATTTTTAAATACTTGTTACCTTGCTCATCAATATGATAACGTTTTACACGAAGGTATTCTAAGTAAAAATTTACGGTAGGAATAAAAATATTTATCAACTAGTATGAAGAATGATGGCATTACCTAACATCGCCACAAGGTATACCCCTTTAGTTAAACCCACTCAGTTTCATCCCTTCAACTTGCTCGACATTTTTTGTACCCCTTACTTAAACCAACTCAGTTTCATGGAGGATCCCTTCAACTTACTCAACATTCTTCCTACTTTTGTTACCCTCTCCTCTTAATACAAATATAGAGTTCAATGATGCAAACTCCCTCCCACCAACTCGTCACCCTTGTTATCGTAACTGCTTATCTATCACAGTTTAAAATTTCAAAGTACAGATTCTTCTTTCTTTTTGTCTTCCAACTAAGATGATATTTATATATAAAAATACTAAACATAAGGGAGACATTGGCCATCCAAGCCTGAGCCACAAATCAAATATATAGAAAGTGGTTCTCTTCCGTATGCTCCTCCCCAGTAGCACAAGAAAGCAATGAGTTCCATCCCTAACATCTATCTACCTATTTATATATCTTAATACATAATAATAAAAATGCATGCCATGCCCCCTCATCTCTCAACTGTATATGGATATTTTATGACACCAATTACCAAGAGCCATCTATTCATCATATGAACACTTACTTTAGGTCATGAGAGAGGGAGGGCATGGATGTTTCTATCTCATCACGTAACGTACCCAAGGGGCATCATGGTGCGTCGGTCTCTCTCTTGCTCTCTCATAAAGCATCGTCGTCGTCAAGAATGGTAGAGAGCAGCAGCTCACGCACAAACTCACATCTGCGAGCCTTCTCTTGTTGCTCCTCGTCTGGCAGAGCAGCCTCCACACTAACACATGCCACCAATGAAGAAACTATGAATAAATATGATAAGATTCCCAAACTGTAAAAGGAACACTTTGAATACCGGGACAAAAAGCAAAGGAAAGAGTAAACCCAAATTGTAAGTCCAAAATACAACAAAAATGAACAAAGAAATCCAGTACTCAGACAAGTGAACATCATCTAAGTGAACATCTTAATGATGCACAGCCGAGTGTATGAGCTATATTGCCTCAAAATTCAAGTTTACAATGGAAGGTTTCCATTAAAACCAGCATTTAAAAATATCTACGTCAGATCGGAATTACTGGATCGAACTTGGGTTGATCGACTTATATACAACTCTGTTGTACCTCTTTATATACCAAAATAAAAAACTGGAAGTTTTCCGCCAATTTGAGACCCAATCAGCCATTCTTCAAATATCCTCTAGTTTTTCATTTGATTTCTCCAAAAATTGTCCATTCTGTATTTCTCTCATTGATCCACAATATCCTAACAAAAATTTTCAGATCAAACCCCAAAATCTCAGAAGTCAAAAGGCTCGAAAATTGGGGATTTTCCCTTTTTCCATTACCTGATCCACCATTTTTTATCTTATCATTGCTCTAGAAGATCCTTATCAAAACTTTCAAGATCAAAACCCATCACTACAATAATCAAAAGCTCAAAATATGGGAAGTTTTTCCCCCTTTTCAGTTCTGATCCAGCAAAATTTATAACCCTCATTTTTCATCTATTTTTTCTCGAAATTGGATGAATATGAACATCTCTCAACATTATCCCCATTAAAAATTTCCAGGTTTCCCCATTTTCAGTTCTGATCCAGCAAAACTTATGACCCTCATTTTTCATCTATTTTTTCTCGAAAGTGGATGAATACGATCATCTCTCATCTACATGATCCCCATTAAAAATTTCAGGATCAAAACCCCTAATTACAAGATCAGATAAAACGATCGCATATCATTTCAACTTTAAACTTTAAAAATGATTGTAAAAACATATTTGTCAGTCTTTAAATGATTTACACTCTGTTTACTATATTTAAATAGATTTACATCGGTATTTCTTGACTTGAAAAAAAAATGACTGAATCAACAACGATTTTCAGTTTATATCTGTTTCTTCTTATTTTTCTCTTTGATTTTTCAACCAGATCACCCGGAAATGGGTGATCCAGTTTGGAACTACCGATACTGATCAGGCTGATCTATAGGCTCCAACTAAACCCAACTGGAAGAATTTCTAGCTTCTACAAGATATCTATGCATTATAAAAGAGAGAAGAAATCCAAGAATCTACACTGCCTAACTTTTCAATATGCAAAAATTGCAAGTCAAATATGCCAGGAATAGCGGAAAACTACTATAAAATCTTCCAAAGAGGACACCTATAGAAAACTAGCCCATACCCATTACTAAAAAATGAAAGGGAAAATTACAAATAACCCCCCAAGACTAAACTTTCTATGCAAGTTACCCCCAGCCAAACTTTGTTTCACACTCTTTTCTCAAAAAATACACTTTTCTAGCAAATACCCCCCAGTCAAAAAGTTTATTTTTTTTAGACGAAAATGCCCTTCCAGTACACGAAATAGTTTGGCTGGATTTGACGTGGACTGTCAGACCTAAGTAGCAATTGCTAGACCGCACCATCGAATTGCCGGACCCCTGCATTTATGTCGGACCGAACTTTAAATTGTTGGACCCCTTGTTGCAAATGCCGGAGCGCCTCTCTAATCGCCGGACACCTTTTTGTTCCATTGACTTGTACTACCAGACCGCCACTATTATTTACCGAACCGACAGTACACTACTGGACTGCCCTGCTCCTAAGAATACACCGGACCACCTTTTTGTGGGAAAGAGGAGAGAGAGGCTTGGGTAAAAGAAAGGGAGGGTATTTTCTAGAAAAGTGTATTTTGGGGGAAAATGTGAGAAAAAAACTTTGGTTTGGGGTAACTTACATAAAGTGTCTAGTCTGGGGGGTTATTTGTAATTTTCCAAAAAGAAAAAGAAAAATTCTTAAGTGGCAACAACAACTGAGCTAGTCATACACTAAAACAGGCATATGCTACCAATCCAGACATAAAGCACATTATTATAGGTGCATAAAAATACAAATAAGCATGTGTGAATATCATCAAATAATTCATACAATGGTTGTCACCATAGGGAAAACACATTTGCTACAATCCAAGCAATACATATCTTGCGATGCCACCAAAGGCAAAGGACTACAATTGAAGGCTCATAACGCAATGTTTTGCACCCAAGTTCCAGCCTAAGAATGTTACCGTTTTGACATGCCAAATAGTCGATAAGGACATGTAGAGATGAGTAAAGCAAATACAGACTTCCAAAAGATCCAAAGCATACAAAAGTAAGATTCTAAACTGGCCATCTAGGATAGTAGTATTCAGGTTGTATAAGCTCAATCACTTCTCCATGGAAAACGCCATATTTAATTATCGACAAATGGACAAGGTCAAGTTTTATTTTCATTTGTAATCATCATAAGAAAAATAATAATTCAAGAATTTTTCAGTCACTCAAAAGCAAAATCATAAAAATGTCACAAATTAACCCCAAGTGACCCCAAAAGCAGCTATAGGAGCTCTACAACCATCAATACTAAGCTTGATAACACCATTGAGAAATGACAATGATGCAAATTGCATCCAAGATATTTATTTATTTATTTATTGTTGGGACTGAATTTTAGGGATATTCATATAGGGGTTAAAAAGGGATTTTTATTTTATTTAGGATGGATTTCCTAGAAATATCTACAGGAAACAGACCAATCATCACTGACCAATCTTTGTTTCACAACGAATATCGACAGGAAACAGAGGCACATGTCAATCAGAGCAGAAAACATCGCTCTGATTCAATGGAGCCGGTTTCTATGAGACCAAGCCCACATATGTAGAAATGCGGGCTCATTAATAAATCTATTTTTTTGATGGATTTTTGGACTTAATTTTTAAGGACATGTAACCTCTAACATGGAGATCATGAATATGAAAAAATAAATAAATTTTAAAAACTAGAAATAATAATTCTAGTAAGAAAACATTTGGACCGTTAGTTTCCATTGTTTTTAGATGGAACACCTACTTGCATCCATCTTTAAGATGGATGCTTTACACATTTTGGATCGCATTAGTAGTCATGCTGTCCAGCCCGCATGAAACAATTTTCCTTATCCAATTCCCTATGATCTCCTCCGCATCACAATCTCAAGATAAACACTACAAAAAATTACTGATCCAAAAAAGGTAGCAATCTTAAGCATGTGTAAATACATGGTATCTTGGTTATGGACGAACATCTAAATAATTCAAAAAATATATATTTATCATTTAACACCACACTAGCCTACGTAAGCTTATGGAGGATTTCTATATATTTCATAAGATGATTAAAATGCAGAAATATCATATTTCAACATACAAAACTCTAGTAAGGAAACAGGCTTGAGTTAAGACGGTAGAGGCTGGGTTTTCATAGCCCAACATCTCAAGTTCTATTTCTATGTTACCTTGTCCCAAAAAAAAAAATGCAAAACTCTATTAAAATCCAATGCTGCACACAATAAATAATTTCCAAAAAAATAAACCAACCTTTTGCATATCCAATGTGGGAATCAGCAAATACTATGGTACGGACAGCTGTTTAGGACAAATTCGAACTGGTATACTCATGAGGTGGGCCAGAAGGAACTCTATATTCTACTGAATAGTGTAATAGGAACTTCAGAACTACGAAATGTTGCAATAAGATGCATGTAAGGTTTTCCTATCAAACAACAATTATATGCACTGACCAAGAAAATGACAATGAGGGCCATTTTAAAGAATGACACCACAAAAATTGATTTTTATGAAACTAGGACAGTAAGTATGCCATGCTCCAACAAAAATGTCATATTTTCATCTATCATAGAATAAACGGCCTAGTAGTAAAGGCAATCGAAGAAAGTGTGTAGCATGGGATTCTCCTATCAATAACTGATGAATTTTATGAGGTCTCGACTTTTCAAAAAATAAGGACACTTGATATTTTATACCCAGCAAGAATACAAATCATGAATTCATACCTTGACTATGTACATATTTCAAGGCAATGGAAGAAAGTGTCTCGGATAGGATTCTACTATTAACAACTGATGCAGGACTCAAATATCCAAAACAATGAGGAAATTTGATAGTTGACATTCTATACTCGACTCATGATTTCATATCTTTTTTTTTCATGATTTCATTTCTTGACTATGCATGTATTTTTTTGGCTATGGGTTTATTTCAAAACCCACAATGTTTACCGAGTTCATAATATTATAATTTTTAAGATAAGTTGAAATCATGCCATTCGTAGACCTTTGTTATCGCCACTGAAAATATTTGGAGTGTGTTCACTTGAATGTGTGAATCTGAAGACTCTAGCGCGTAGACTCAAGACACCCATTTCAGCAATTATTATGAGAGCTTCCGGCCATAACTTACTTCCCAAGTTTCATCAAAAGATGAACATCTAATCTAACCCAAAAATCAAAGGCTCAATGTATGGGGCATCTTGGTATCATGTTACTAATGCAGTTTTCAGTTTCAGCTATCCTAAATTTAGGGGCTAGTACAGAACCCATCCATTAATTTAAAGAATAAAAGAATAAAAAAGACGTAAAAACCAATCAACGACTGAGATCATCGCGAAATAAATGCATAGTACAAAAAAATACCTTTCCACATTTTCCTCAGCACTGGTATTGGATGAACTTCCTTCAACCTGCACCTGAGGCTCCGATTTTGTTGTAGTGCATGACATTGGGAAATTGTAGATAAAAGATGACAACAAAGGATCAGCAGCTGTATTTGAAGGAGCAATCGTGCAGGTTGATCCCCCAAGAAGTGATTGTAGGTGCCCCTCATGCAGTTCTTTGCTTAGAAAGGAAAGTGTTGAATGTGATTGCATTGATCCTCTACGGAATCTTCTCCTACGCTGCATGTAATTTCAAATTAAGGACAATCAAGGTTTGCACAAGTCCAGAGTTCACTCTTGACCCAGTTCAGGCCTTATACTGTATTTCCCGCAGAAATAAATACATTTTCTCATCTTCATAAAAAACAAAAAATCCAGCGCAGGAGGTTACCCAGCAATATTGTACCTCACCTGCAGGGAAATATTGTAAGGCCAATGGCATGTTCCAAGGAGGGGGAGAAGAGGGTGTACACAGGGACAATGCGTGTGTGTGTATACAAAATCAATAACTTTTTACCTTGAGAACTCTAGGAAACACACCGTCTACAATTGCCAGAGCTCGTAATCTGAAGTAGTTCAAGAATGGCACAGAGGGAGTCTATGTTTGCCAGGTAGAGCTTGAAAAATTCAGGTGATGGCAAATAGAAGAAGGGTAGATGCTATTTTTAGTTAGACCAGAGTGGCAGATGCAATTGGCCATGTCCCAGCAGCAAGAAACTGTAAACTTGGGGACTGGATTTATTGGTGGTTGCAGGTATGGATATGGTGGGGGGGCGGGGGGGGGAGGGAATCTGATATTTCCTTAGCCCATTATTTTTATATCCAAAGACATGCACAAGAGATGACACTGTAGGGAAACATTCAGTTTGGAGGGTGTAAGGCTTTGACAGAAATCACTGGAAATAGATAGTTTCTTCTTATTTAGATTCTTTCGAGAGGTCGTATGGAAATTCCAAAAAGACAAAACTTTCATCCAAAACACCAGAAGATGAGAATGTATATATATAGAGGAGAAGTGCTTGGAGCAGTACCGGAGTTGGGGGATTGGAGATTGATTCTCTCCAAGATGCTGTAGAAACTGTGAAGAAATATTAGGAAGATTAGATCCTAGTAGGCTTTAATGAGACAGCAAATAAGTACCAATATACTTCAAGTGGGTGGAAGACATGAATTTGGATACAAAGTCACAAAGTGGGGTCTGCGAGCGGCTGACTAGAAGTGCAAAAAGGAGGAGAGAGACGAGGGAAGTCTGGAGTGAGAACTCTCCATAGCTAGCCACAATAACAGGACAGCCTGGGTAAGAGCAAGGGTGTAGAGAAGATAAATGAGTTAAGCCAACTCAACTCCTTGAATTTTAAGAATATGAGTTGAACCCACTCAAAATCTTTTAATACCTATAAAAAGAACTGTAGTTTCCACTATGAGTGACAAATATTATCGTCACTAAGAAGGAAGATAAAACACTTTTTTTTTTTTTGATGAAGTAGGAAGATAAAAATACTTTAATCAAAGAGATCCCATCATTACCAAGTGAAAAATGACTCCAAATTTATACTTGGTTGCCATAATAAGTTTTATGAGAAGAATTATTGTCTTCAAGCTAGGCTGAATACAGTAGGTTTTGATGTTCTAAATCCTGATTCTATGAGATGATTGTAGAGCATGCACAGGCATGAAAGGAAGTTCTCAATTCTAATGTGTCAAGGCTGCGAGACAGTATGGTTTTACAATGGTATGAACCTAGATGTGTTGAAAAATTGAAATATATCCCAAAGTATGATGAATCTGGATGAGTTATTTACTTCTTAGAACCAAGATAAAAACAACCTCATGAGACATAAGAGAAGGTTGAATCCAAATCCATCAATCTCTGACTAACAGTAGCCCCAGATGTCCATCAATAAGTAAATAAATGAATAATGCAATGGAATGTGCTTTTTTTCGAACAATATTAAGATAATTTTTTGAACAATATAGGGTGTTAAAAATATATTCCAATAGAGAATTACAGGGGGAAAAAATCTCAAAATGCATTTTTTTTATAACATATCCTACTATCTTAGAATGCATTAAAACTTCAAAACTAATCTTTGCAAAAATGAAGGTGAGATTCTACTCTTTGCAATCACAAGTTCCTATCATCAGGAGCAGAACATGCAATATCAAGAATAAATACTAGAACAAAATTCAAAGTTATTAAAAGGATATCTTGAAGAAATTTCCATGGTGCATAGTTATGTGTCCAACCATTTCCATTCCTACCCTTGTCGCACAAACAGGGCAAACCTGTGTGACAAAATATGAACAAAAAATCAGAATATGGTTTACCAAATATATTTTCTCTAGCAGTGTAGACCAACAGAGCTACTGCATAAATCATATCATGCCTAATGGAAATGTTTATAAATAGGTCACGATGGTCTGCATTGCCTAGCACTTCTCACTTATAGATTGTTGTTGGCCCTAATTATTGGACTACAAAAACAACAAAAAAAGAACGTAAGACCTATGTAGCACATGCTCAAACATAACCTGGAAATTCCAAGCTCGCTTTTTTTCTTTTCCATTTTTTGAAAATATCGCTTTTTTTTCTTTTTTATAAGACTAGAACATGTTCATTGCACCCACGACTTTTTGCTCTTTTTTTTTGAGAAACAACCCACACGACTAATTTCACTGTGGTGTTCAATAAAACTAATTATTATGGACACAAAGATAAAAATAGAACCACAAATGCCTAAAAGAAGATAACTCCCCAAGGATTCAATGACTTCAGAGTATAACTTAATCAATCTTCTGGGATAATGTTTCCCTTGGAAAATAAAGCAAAATTTCTACCATCCAAGAACATTATTCCCATCTTCCACTATTCTATGGCCAGAAGTAATTTCCTAGCCCAACATTAAAAAAAATAGATGGGAACAGATACAGACCATAAAACCACATCTGAAATGAATACGAAAACATAAAACCCACAACATATAATCTGCACAGTAACTAAACAAGCTAGGTAATTCACACTTCAGAGTGATGCTCATGAAGAGCATTGACCACGTCTCCCTTGAATCTTAGTTTCCACGATCAATAACGGTAATAAGCACAAACATACTACTCCAGGAAACGACGACTTCAATCCTAGTAATAAATAAAACCGTGAAATTCAACGTAGATGGAATGAGTTCTCCTCGCTTTCTATGCAAAATCTCCCGCTAAAAGATGGTGCCCTCGGATGACTCGGAGGTTTACCCACTAGACAAACAAAAGCATGCAAAAAAGAAAAAAAAAAAAAGAAGGAAAAGAGCCAGCCATAATCCAAGTATTGATGGAGAAAAAAGGAGATTGCTTTAGTTAATAGGTGCTATACTTAGTCGCTCTTTAGCTCCTTTTCCTCAGCTTTGTACGCTTTCTTAATTGAATAAGTTTAGTTTTCACACAAGTATGAAAAAAATAAATAATGCAATGGAAACAAAAGCAGTAATGCAAGGTAAAGATGACAGCTTTATGAAAGGCAGAAATAAAATAACACATCATAGAGAGAAAAGGGGAGAGAGCGAAAAAGGGATAGAGAGAGAGACAGCAGCGAGGCAGAGAAGGATAGAGAGAGGGAGGTGATGAAGACAGAGAGAGATGAGAATGAGAGCAAGGTGGAGAGAGAGAGATAGAGTTGGGAAAAGGTACCGCATTTCTGGCCTCCATAGAGTGCTTATCATCAATATGACAACACAAGCTCACTATGTCAAAAACCTCAGAGCAAAAAGGGCATGGGAATTCTGCTCTAACCTCATCTTCACCATCCGTGTCGTCAAAGCTTAGATGCAGATCTATCAAAAAGCAAGCATTTTTCCGCATCAAAATGAGAATACGTCAAACCCTAGACTCTGAAAATATCTATAAAAAGAGAAATAGAGAAAAATATAGAGATAGAGAGGGAAAAACATAGAGCAGATGTCACTTGCCAGAACGAGTTTGGATGGAGGTTTGATGGCGTTTGGATGCTGAGAATCGACCAGTCCATGAATCTGCCTCCATTTATCCCCCAAATTGACTCCAAAGCCAAAACCCTTTTTACAAATGCAAGGCGATCAACACCGCCTTATTATACAACAGAGAAAGCCCTAATTCCCTGGATTCTCTGCAATTTCACTGTGATCACCGCCTTTCAAACCAGGAAATCACAGAAGACATACCCTCAATTCAAGAACGATCAGCGCCTGCAAATACACCAAATGCCCTAAAACCCTAATCTCTGAAACTGTGGCTGCGCAATCACCTTCTCCGCCGTTTATAGCCCAAGAATCCCAAATTTTGGAGACTGGAAGAGCCAAAAAAACACCTATTTTTTGGGAAATAGGGCACAAAATTGAGGGCAAGAGCGAGAAAGTAAGGCCTTTCTCTCCTCTCTCTCTCTCTCTTCACCAGAAATTCTGACAATAATCACGTGTTATTTATTTTTTCATCTCATTTTCTTTCATTTCTGGGTATTATTTATACGCCATTTCCCTCATTTCGAACCGCCCTCGTACTGTCAATCAATATCGAGTTTGTACTCAATCCTGTAAATTACTAAAATACCCCTAATACTAGAGACTATAATATATACAAGTCTATTTGTCCAGGGAATCGAATATCATGCACGTTGTGTGGATGGTTTATTCATCCATACCGTCAGTTGATGAGCATTAACGGTGAATTGCATTCATGTATTCCCGTACTGCATACGTGATGTATAGTATTTTCTGTGTATGATATATTCATCTACACCGTCAGTTGATGAGCATTAACGGTGGATTGCATGCATGTGTATCCCATACAGCATATGCGATGTGTATAATATTTTTTTTCTACTTTAGGCATTGTGTTAAGGATTTTCTTCCTAAAATCAAATTGTTTTTGGAGATTCTTGTGATGAAATTGGTCCACATTTATTTAGCTTTTTGCTGGCAATTTTTGTTTTTTTTGTTTTTCTTTGTTATGTCCCTTTTAGTAGAATATTAGTGGACAATTTTTAACAGATTGTGCCAAATTTTTGACAATTTTTTGGTCCAATAATGGAGAAACAACAACCTCACAATCTCTTTCGTGGGCTTGGTAGTCGGTTGAGTTGAATCGGCCCTTGGCTTGTTGAACCAGCTCAAGTCCGGGTTTGGGTCCAATATGTGGATTGTCAGGTTAAGTCCAAGTCCAAAGTAGGTTGTCGGATTGGGTTGGCTCCGAGACCATTTTCTAAACTATCGAAGCGTGTTTGGGTCCAAAAGTACGTTGTCTAGTTGGGTTGGCTCTTGGTCCAGCTCGAACCTATCTGGGTTGGGGTGATAATGACGTGAAATCAGTCCCTGTATATATGGCTCCTGGTTCAGCTCGGACTTAACTAGATCGGGTTGACAATAACATGAAATCCCTCCCTATATAAAAATATTGGGTGTGTATGGGTTGACAATAACATGAAATCCCTCCCTATTTAAAAATTTTTTATATATGGGGTGTGTATGTGTATGAGAGAGAGTTACAAAAAAATCTCATTTTATTTTTGAAATTTTAGAATAAGTCCAACTTGTTGAGAGTAAATAATGTATTTTTGTTTTATTTTATTTCCTATATATCAAATTAAGCTAAAAAAAAATGGGGTGTGCGTATTTTTCCCCATCATGCACATTTAAAAATTTAAAAAGTAATTTAAAAATAAATAAATTTACCAAATACTCGTACATCTAAAGCATAATTCGATTTGTATACAAAAAAAAAATAAAAGTTCCAAAATACACCATGTTTTCTCATAAGTAGGACTTGAATGTAAAATATAGAATTATAGGAGCCTATTTTAAATTTCAAGATAAAATGATTTGTTTTTCCCTTAAATTTCTCGGTAACATAACATGGTGAAAAGGGAATATGGATAATAATATGGGAAATTTATAAAAAATAAAAATAAAAATAAAAATTATCAACCTTATGCTCTAGAAATAATACGTACCTCAAAAACTTACTGAAGATCATCACAGGGATTTTTTATGCTTTAAATTTTATAATTAGAGATAAAAATAGATTTTTAGATCATCACAAGGATTTTTGGCAGCAAAACATCTTTCAACATCATTCGGAGTGCGTCTTACTGTGGTTGTTTCAAGCATCAACCTCATACAAACCTCATCCAAAATACCCAGAAAAGATGAATTATTTAACATTTTATTTATTTGCAATCATTCCAACCCAATATCATGTGTTTTTTTATGGGTATTTTGACATAAATCAAAATATATGAGTAAAGTATTCAATTGTTAACCTCTTATAGGTAATTTGATAAATTTCCTATTACATATTAATTATATATACTATCAAAAAACTATACTACTTTTTATATATTATTATTATACTCCTTTTATTTGTTATATTTTAACCCTAGCGAGACCCAATTGAGTGCGTCGGGTATCCGAACGACCTGGACCCAACCAGGTCCATATCAAGTCCATGTGGACTATTTGAATTGTTTGGATCAGATCCAAGTCAGGTCCAACCCGACCCATTTACACCCCTTCTTCTCGATAATTTCTTGCCATGAATTATTTTTTCCAATTCTCTAAACTTTAGGAGGGTACGGGGGAAGATGGAAAACATCGCAAGTTTCGACCCAAGGAGACATTTAAAAATAAAAAATATCATAACATCCTGAAAATTCCACTTAAAACTTGCAATAAATCCATGCATATCTCACATGATTTTTCAAGGAATCAGAGTTTCGTGAAAAGCTGTCTATGATATCACATAAGTGAAAAAAACATAGCTATTTGATACCATATGTGGTGGCGATCTCATAGCAAAATTTGCGAGAAAATTTTCGATGTCTCTAATTTATACTTTGAAGGTAAATTTATGAAAATGAACATGAGAAATCAACTATTTAATAATTTACTTATATTTTTTAATTTAATTTAAAAATAGTCATCAAAATACACATGATCATGAGTTAAATAGTTAAAAAGTGATAAATTGTTCAATTTTTAAAGGGTGAGGTTTGTGTAAGATGCCCTCATTATGTTATAGAAGTAAGACACACCCCTAAAATTTTCTCGGATAGTAGTTATTGGTGTTGGAAACCTTATCATGGCTTGAAAATATATGTTTATCTCTCGATATGAAATTTAATTTTTCAAAGACAGTACAGATCGAGTAAATCTAAAAACACTCAAAAGTCTTAATAATAGAAGGTCCAAATAACTTGTTACAAGCTACACTATTTTTTATCCTTCAATTTTTTTTTTCTACACTATTTTTTATCCTTCAATTTTTTGTTTTACTTTATATCCACGTATACGAAAGTCAAGATGATCAATTAAAAGGTTATTCAATGTCAAAACGCTCTCTATTGGAGGATTTTTTAGGCTGAAGGTTGAGATGATCAATTAGAGGGTTCTTCAAGGTCAAAACACTATTCCTATCATCAAAACCTTACATAAATTTTTATTTTTTATCGTTAAATTTATATAAAATTTTCCTATCATTAAAATGCATAGTCTTCCCTACTTCAAAGCGTGCCCTAGAAAGTTATGCTTGTTTTTTGACTGCCACTTTTTCTTGCGACAATTTGTCGTTGTTCGTTTACTTTATGAAACAACTTTTGCTTCTTCGACACTCGACACACAAGGTTGGAGGTTTGAACAGTGTTTAACCTTTTAGGGTTTGACCAGGGGTAAATTGTTCCATTTGGAAGATTTGAATACTTTATTATTTACACGATCCCTGAACGTGTATACCTTTTTTTACTTCTTTTTTTTAAGATTTATCAAAGTACACTCGATTTATCGACTATTTCATATTGGAAAAAGTTTATGTATAGGGGTGAAGCCCTAATCAATTAAATCAAGGCACATCTCAAAATTTCACAGGAAGAGGTTGTTTCAATGCTCAAAAATCCTTAAATTAATGGAGATGAGAAAAAATAGATTTCAAATATTAGAAATAATGCATATTGTAATTTATTTTCTGGACTATCAATTTTCAAGACTTTTAAGTGTACATAGATTCGATCTACACTAATTTTGAAGCTTTAATTTTTTATAATTAAAAATAGAAATGATTTTTGAGGATGTCACCAAGATTTATAGTATTGGAACAACATCTTTCAACGCTATTTGAAAGTGCTATTTACTTTGATTGTTCAGTGTCTCAACCTTATACAAACCACTCCCTTTAACATTTTACATGTTGTAAACTATTCAAATTAAATCATATGTAGTTTTTATGGGCTTTTGAAATAGCATCATCAACCAATTACAATTACAAGAAAGTGCACGTTCAACTTCAACTGAAAGATGAGACTTCGATGTTGGAAACCCCTATAAAAATTCTATATTTACCCATAACTATCAAATTTAAAGTTCAAAAAATGATATATATCGAGTAAATATATAAACATTTGAAAATCTAAAAAATAGACGGTCTAGATAATATGTTTCAAGATGCACCAGTTTTAGGAATTTAATTTCCTTTTTTATATTCATACATCTTGAGATCGATACAATCAAACAGTTTTCCAGCATCAAAATAACATTTCTAATGGTTTTTTAGGTACACCTTACGTTTACAGTAAAATATCTACGTCTTGTATAAACCTTTTGCAAATTCCAAATAGTTCATCTCATAAGTGGTTTTGATTAATTCCCCTTTCCTTGTTCCACCTTGAACTTGGAACCTTTTTACTTATTTTACTCGTGTTTTACTTTCTTGTAATAGGTTAAAGTGACCAAGCATACAATCTTTTCAAGTTTTTAAAAAAGTGTCTATTGTATTTCTCAATAACTCTATTATTGCCGGTCCCAAGCCCAGTTGAGAAAAGAGGAGGATTGTCTTACGTTGGCAACCAATGTAACACTTTTGCCACATCTCTATCATGAATCTTGCTAGCCGACCCCAAATAGTTGGGATAAAGCTCGGATGATAATGACGGTGATATCCATTATATTTCTTAGTGATTAAAATAAGAATCATAAAACCATTGCATATTGCATTGACATGAGGTTTTCTGGCATACAGTACCATGCACAAATTGCAATACTCGACATGTTGAATGCATGACATACTAAATTTATGTCACAACCCCGCCCCGCTAACCCCGTTCACTATAGAGGGTAGCAGGGTGCAGGTTCGTGATCCAAAAGTAGCAAACACTACTCAAGATAGAGTGGCGCGTTGCTTTGTTAAAGCAGTAACTCAAGCAAACCAATAAAGTAAAGAAACTCTAACATAAGCACAAGAACTAGGTAAAACGAGAACTAAGATTTATGTCATTACCTAAACATCTTGAAATAATACATCTGATCAAGGCACAGAAGGCCTAAATTACAAAAATACATAGTTCCAAAAAGACAACCAAGAACATGGCCCACTTCTGATAAATACATACAAGCAAAAGGTCTTTTTCATAAGTATAAGCCTTCGTCGACCAGATC